TCTTCCAATCCTCATAGACCATCGCTTTCTGAAACACCACTCGATTCATCACCAGCCTCACGTAACTTAACGTAACCGTGCCCAAGCACAGTACAGTACGTTCTTTGTCTTCTAAAATCTGACCAGTCACATAATATTCGTGCTTTGAATTATTTCATTTGATTAAATCGTGCAGTTGAGCCTTCAACACGTCGTCGTCCTTCTTTGATGAAGACGTCGGTGGTTTGTCTGTCTGAGTGTTGCAACGCGAGGCTGTATTAATAATGAACGTTGGGTTGAGACGCCCTGTAACCTTGTAAGTGAATCTTCAACTCTGAATGTGAAAACCGTACGTTCCTCCAACAAACTCGTAACCATCCTCAGTTCACTCGGAATGCACTGCGCCCCGCCCCCCAGAAAGTGGCCAATTAATAACCGAAATATTTAACAAATTAGCGTATGAACAGTTGATGCAACGTGTAAAGACGGCAAAACTCAAAAATCATTTTTGTGCATTAACAGAAAAGAATCATCAGTTTGCAATTTGCATGAGCTGAGATTCGTGGCACGAAGCCAGCACAGCGACGAAACATTTACTTCTCAACACCGCTTACATAAAGTCCCTATTCTGAAGCCACTGGCACTTCTCTACTCTAATCTCAAGACAAATAAACATCTGTTCCGTCTCTTTCTCGGTCTTCTAGGTGGCCAGTTTCCAACCGAAATTCTCCCTCACCCGTTCTACATGTGCACCTCATCGTAATATTACACCACGAGACCTGCATGTGGACATATCACCTAGTTATTCATTACGTAACGGACAGGCCCAATGTCAGACTTCCAAGGTTTTTTAACACTTGCGAGTTACAATCCTAGTCGAGGCTGGCCTAAAATGACATACTATAAACACAAACAATTTTAAAACATTGGCAATTACCACTGTAGGTATTACCGCATTCTTTTTGTAATGTTTTGAGTATGAACACGTTGCATACATTTACAACTAATCTTCCTATAGGCATTTAAAAATAGCATAAACATATTTACAGCTGTCATTTTAGACCAAGGCTCTGGATAAAAATTACATAACCCTACTTACAGTCTTGTAACGAACTACCAATAAAGATTACGAAACATTTAACACGATGAACAACATATTAGGCACCGAGGAACTAAACATAAATCAATACAACACAGTAAAAACAGCATCTTCATGTCAGCAATAAAGCAAAATTCAAAAAATGAAGTTCAAAACTAAGTAAATGGTAACTTCACACAATAAACTTTGTTGCACTAAATCGAGAATTAGGACGAATCGACTGACGAATGTAATCTCGTATACTATGAGCTGCGTAATTTACCCACAAACCCGGCATGTCAATTATACCGAAGTTGGCTGCATTTGTTTTCCGAACCATAACCCAACAACAAAAGGGCACACTGATGGAAATAATTAATACTTACTTCCAGAGTCTTCGGTAGACAACTGTTTCAATAAACTGATCACAAATCTTACATTGATGATGTTGATAAAACTGCTACTGTGAAATCGTAGGAGAATCAACAGAAAACATACTTCGACACACTAACCTTGAAAACCGCGCTCTTACAACACGCCATATTTTACTGCACCCGAGTACCAACATGACCAACTTAACGGCGCGAAACTTAAAGCTATTCCACGGATATATTCGTCAAAAGCACTCGTGTGTCGTCTCCACTACTCAGAAGAGGAGACCACATGTAATATTCATACAGAACTACCTAATTATCATCTCATTATTTATGCGAGCCTAGATTTTCTGGAGTAAAAATACTTTTCTGTAATAAAGTCATTGCAAAAAACATTCTCATGGTACACGCCATGGGTTACTACCCTCTTCCTGTAACGGAGAACCAGGAGAAACTTAATATTTCAAAACATGCACAGTATCAATCTACCAAAATATGTGAATGAAAATAATTAGATTACGAATAATTTGTTCCTTGTGTTCTCATATTAAGACATTTTATGAAAGCACGGTTTTGGCACACTCCATCACATAAATTGCTGCCTGAAGAGCAGGAAACAATCCATTTTCTTCGAAAATGTAACCATTATTCAAATCCACATGCCTAAATGAATGTGACATCTCATCACAATCTACAAACATTTATAACTCCTTCGTACTGGGCAGCGATTCAGAGCACAAAGCAAAAATAACTAATGCCTTGAGACCATCAGCAACTACCCAATAAATTATAATTTCACATTCTAGCAAGCTCCTCGACGCCCGCGAGCACAGACAACAAATGAGCGCGTCCTTCAACTCACGACGCATTTCAAAACAGTTCAGGTAAAGGTCCACCAAACAGAGCAAACAGAAAATAATAAATTATGCTTCTGCTGTTGTGTGCACTCCAATATGGAGTACTGCTGTATAATTCATTAAAGTTTACTTTTTCACTACTGATATTTATGGATAATACAAAAATGTAACATTTAAAACACACTCTAAGTTCAAATTCTATTTACAGACAAATACAGTGGGGCTCATCTGTTTCCTAAAACTCTGTTAACCACGCAGAAAAGCTCAGAATGCCAGCGTCTTAATGTCCATATTAGGATGGACGCACGTGACACTCCGCAATTCAGAAGAAATTCACTACCTCAGCGCACCTTTTTTTGGGGTTCCACTCACAGAAGCACTGAAAACTCCAAAATGGTACGTAACCTCAAGAGAACAGCTCCACGACCATGTAGGGGCAGTATAAATGTTAGTCCGTCACTAATTTAATTGTGCGTCGACAAATAAAGGCAAATTTGTTTATAATTAATACATTATATCATAATATATAATATTTGAAAGTCGTTTCCATCATCCATCGCGCTCCAGCTCTTCCGTTGATCGCCGACTACGAGAATCTGCAAGAGCAAGTCACCAAATGTTAGAAGAATTCGCACGCGGCTGCAATTCCATATTTTTGTTTGCAATTAAAAGCAAATTAATTAAGCTTCGTAACAGCTGCTTACGTGTTTGTCCGGGTGCGGAACGCGCCTCAGGAGACGCCGTGCGCCTTGAACAACCCATCTGCAAAAGAATCTGAAACTGCGCACATTCCAGTAAACAATAATTTCACAATTCTCAACAGGAAAAGGAAAAGCTTGAAGGACGCTCGTTACTATCTGAAAACATTAAATTTCAATTTTCATCGCAAATGCGGCATCAAAATGTTCAGTAAGGCTTTCCCTCAAGAAAAAGTTACTCCTTGCTCTGACGTCCCCATCAGCAAAACTCTTTCTCAGTTTCCTACCTGTGAGAATCAATTGCCACATCCAGCTGTTACTCTTGGCTCGGCCCCCATAAGACGGCAGGCACAGTCAAAAGTTCTGCTGCAAACTGCGACGAACCTAAGGCTTCAACGACGCGCTCCCTGGCAAGGAGATTGCGGGATACACATTTGTCCCTTGGAATTTCCTGAGCTCTTCTTTGATGGCTGCTATAAGCGGTATCGCTGGATCCGACGGAGGAAGCTGGCCATCAGAGAGTACGAGCGTTCTGTCGACGGTTATTTCTACGGGACCTGGCAGCTGTGGACGGTGAAAGGGGCCAGCACTGAGGGGTCTGGGCAGAGTTCCCGAAGTCCCCGAATGTGGAGAAGGAGCGCAGGTTCCCCAAGCCCCACGGGGTCTGGACTCGCCGGCCGCCGCGGTGGCCGGACGACGGGGGCCCGTCGTCCTTGGCCGAGGAATGGCTTCAGAAGGACCCAACGGAGGCTCGCACACTGGCCTGCGGGGACAAGGGCAAGGCAAATACAAAGCCACGTGAGCAATATTATCCTCGAGTGCCAACGTACATAAACAAATAAGACACAAATTCATGGGCCTACCACCAACATACACAGAGCACTTCACAACACTGTGCTAATAGCCCTCGTTATTCCCATTCTATTACAATGAGATAGAAAGACACAAATGAGCACAGTTCAATTCCTAGATCAAACTGTACAGTCCAAAAATAGTTATCCATATTCGACTTCAATGACGATATCCCCGAGCCGAAACATAATCGAGAGACTGAAGGAAGGAGTCGCATGTTTTCAGCACAAACGATACATGAGGAAGGAGTTCCAAGCGTCCGGTATCTGTGACACCGAGCTCGATTCAAATCCCCACTAGACACAGCGAGAAATAAATTATCCCTTAATATCTTCAGATTCCGTAACTCAGTTAACGGTTATCCACGACACTACATGAGTGCACGCACCTGACAATCGCAGAATGGACTCTGTGCAGAGTTGGCGGACTGCCGCCGTCCTCTTCGGCCCCGGGACTCCCGCTCTGACTTCCAAACAAGCTGAATGTGTCATCCAGTAACTCGTGAAAACGTCGCCTCATCCGCCCAACATTGCTTCCCGTTGTGTCATCCCGCGTGGTTTCCAGAACCAGGTCTTCCACAGTTTCATCCAGAATACCTAATCACAGTGTCCGTCACATACAAAATGAGCAGGACCGAAGAAGCCGACTTTCAAAATGTGACGAAGTGCAAGTCGCTGGGAACGATAGCAACAAATCATGATTGAATTAAGAGCACACTCAATTCAATGAGAATATGTTTGGTGAACAGATGAGCCACGAGAATCATATTCCCCACATTTTAATGTAACTCCGCCTGCAGCATAAAAGTCAGTGCTTTTTACGTAATTCACCATTTTCAAGAGACGTTCTAAAGTTACAGAAACAAATGATCCACTCTCTTGGTACAAACGCAACGCTGAGGCCATAAAACTCAAGGGAAATTTGAAGTTAAGACCAGAACTGCATTGAACTACGATCATGAGCTAGGCTTTGGAGTTGAATTTACTTACCATGATGCTGTTGGTAGCACTGGACCCTGTGACAGTGCAAGTCCCACACTACAGGACCAATCACTCCAGGATCTTCTCCTTCCACGCTGCCGTGTCTCGTGAGCCGCCGCGCAGGCTCCGCGATTATGCCCCCTCCCTCCAAGTCCAGGTGTCTCACATTTACAGGTTCCAGAACCCTTGCAAGAGGTTCTGGTATGTTGGCACCTCTTCAAAGGACAAAGTTCAAACTCAGAGTCTCCTCAGCGAGCAAAACACTCGTACCGGCAAAAACAGCGACACCACGCACACAGAATATCTGCCGTGACATGCGTTTAAGTGAGGATACACGAAGCACGCAATAGGAAATCTTATCTAATAAACAGTCAAATGTGCACTGAAAATGTTACCAACTTCAAGAAAATATGACGCAATATTCTACCTTGGAAAAGCTTTGATTGAAGGCATGGAGAGGAACGAGTTCGGACTGACCGTCGTCCCGACCTTAGGCTTGACAGGAGGCGAGTCCCTGACGGGCAATTCGTCATCTGGCTTCAGCTCTCTTCTGTCACATTCCTTTCTCTGCGTGGACGCATGTGAAGGATACTGCAAAGCAAACAGTAATGCCAACTAACAGGAACTAAATCATAACAAATACATTCATTAATGAGTACAATAAAACACACGTCACTAGCACGTGTTTAAATAGTGTCGCGCGTGAAATCCACACTGCATGCATCTCTTGTACACGGATCTTACGCAATCCAAAAGAGGAAGTTGCGGCTTTCATTCTGCGGACACATCAGTCCAACTCAACCCCTACTTGTTACTTTTTCTAAGATTTTAATGTAAATGTTTTGCACGTAGTATTTATTTCGCTTCTCATACGGTGCAGTCTGAAGTAACGCCATCATAATTCAGGGTTGCAAAATATTTCACGAAACATGCCTCGTACTCATCTCTGCAGCATACTTCAGCGTTAAACAGTACATAAAAATTTAACATATGTCAGCAACTTTGGTGAAAGAACAGAGAATCTTTACAAACTACATCACATGTGAAAAATGGAAGGAACACAGAGCAGCATACGCCAATAATCACAACCAGCGTCTCTTCCGTGGATATTCTTGGACTGCACTCACTTCCTTCTCTTCGTTACAGCCATTCCCTTGCCTTCGCCTCACTAAGGACGTCTCCGAAGACTCTCCGCTACTGAGACTCGTATGCGATCCCTTGAATTTCTGATCTGTTATGATGTCGGCATCTCTGAATGTGACGGTGGCCGATGAGGCTACAGGCACAAAGCTCGGTGATGTCTTGGAACCACGGGAACCAGATGTACTCTGACCCTTTAACACGGACATACACGTCTTAAGGTACGCGCTGTAAATACGTTCTTGGTATATTTATTACCCTCTCTCGGCTTCTCTGACTAGTGCTCTCTATTTCAGGCCTCCAAAAATTTCTAATGGTTGCAGTCGCATTCAAGATGTTTTCTGAACTTTGATCTCTGTTACACGGACTGCTGTAAAGTACTCTGCTTGATGAGAATGGTTCTAGACAACAAGCACCGCCTCCATACAAACACAAAGTTAGACATCACGTAAACTTTAGTTTTAATCCTCTGTAATAAAAAGACATGAGAATATTTTGACAGAAAACCCCTTATCCTATCCATGTAAAACACAAAAGTCTCATATTACAGAATTTTCTCTTCTCGCGCAGAAAATCGCACTACCTTGAAATCAACGTCATCCTCATAACCAAGGTTAGTTGTTCCTCCCTCACGCCGAGTGCCACCGCTCTGCCTGCCACCCGCCAGGACTCGTCTCTTGCCGCGTTTCCTCTTGCCGAGACCAAGGGCAAGCAGCGCTATCAGAAGAAGCAGCAAGCAGACGGCCGCAATGGCCGCCCCGACCAGAAGCCACGTGTCTCTGGAACGACCCTGCTTCCAGCCTCTGTCCAGTGGGAATGGACTCTTCAAGTATGCTGCATATGAACACAACTATTAGAACCAAGTCACTTCAGCCTGAAGATGGAGGCAGCATGTTCGTACAAAAAATTGGTAAACACCTGCACAACAACTCAGAAGACCATAATCAACATCACAGCTGAGATAGCTTCAAATCTCAGTTACTAAAACCAAGTCAAAGAATTAAAATGAATAAAAAATGGGGAATAGCTCCACATATTCTCGCTGTAGTAAATTGTACTGTAGTGTAAGCCCACTGCACATGCACCCTGAAACAGCAACATTTCCTCTTGACGTCTTAAAATGTTTTATAACAAATGAGAAACCTGTCAAACACCCAGTTAACAGTCCACAGTAATCAAAACAAGTATAAGCTCAAAAATAATTTTCCAAAACATTAAAACTTTTTTACAAATTCTTAAAAACAGTAAACATAAAATCTTCATGTATTACCCAGACTTCTCACTCACTAATCTGTACAATTTTGTTTAATTTGTCTGTGTCCAGTTTCTCCTTCAAACGGCACAGTTGTAATGCGACGCAGAGGACCGAGCTCCCCCACAATCCATCCAGGAGGATCTCCTCTTCAAAAAGTCTGAGGCTTATACGCGTCACCGCTCGGTCATTTGACGCAAATCCCCAATTTAAATGCCATATTCTCTAGGCATAAATTGGACCACTGTAAGACCAGAGTTTCGGCTTAATTCAGCAAAGTTTTGTTGACATTTCTACACGCAGACACCAGGTGAAACGCTGTTACAAGTTAGTGTACGAGACTCATCTCTTCACTGACTGAAACAACTGTAGATGAATAGAGGAACTAACAATTACTGATAAGCGTAGTTCCTCGTTGGACAAATCGGTGACACGCCCTAGCATTGTCACTGGAGGTTCCAAATGACGTCAACACACAACCACTGGGTGGGCACCGCATCTTCAACATCCTGTTTTCCTTAATTGTACTTCACGTTCCAATTAAGGGACGGGAGAAAGAGAGCCGAGTACGTCGGATTCTCCTCCCATTAAACAAACGTGTACTTGTAGCGTATTATTCTACCATGTTTAATGACAAAGTCCGGCTTAGTTACAAAGGGAAACAAATGACATGCACCAAAGTCAACATTCCACTCTGTATTATCTGGTGCGGTCAGCACGGGAGAGGAAGAGGACTGCAGCGGAGTACGAATCGCTGACGCTCAACAAAATCCAAGCTGAAGTTTCAGACACAGCAACTGGGTCCTGCTTATGCAGCACAACAAACTCTCGGAGATGTGGACAAATGTAAACTTTACATAAATGACCAGAAATTAATTTCCTTACATCTTATGCAACTATTATCCACCAAATTTCTTATCAATGAACTTGATAAGTTTGTTCGCAGATTTATGCCAATATTTTGTATTTCAGCATCTGTAAGCTGATGAGTAGTAAAAACAAAATTTCTGTCAAATGTTCATTGGTCTTGCTACAATCATATCCTTGACAAACTTACAAACAGCTATAACGAAATACGCGACACTCACGTTCTGCCTTCGTGACAACTGGATACCCAAGTTCTGCAGTGACCTCCGTGTTGGACACCAGTTTCATGTCTTCTGCCGCAGCGACCGCTAGAACGGGCTTTCCTGCGACATGCACCGTGTACAGCAACTCCAGTTCATCCGTATTTTTCGATGTCTTGTTGTGGACACACACGGTCACGCGTTCGGGGATCCGGCGATCATGTGCCCGGCGCGTTCTAAACTGAGCTGCAGCCGTGGCATTATTGATCCCCAAATGATGTTCCTGTTGCCTGTAACATTACAAGAACAGGAATCAGGATTTCTCTGGGGGTGTGTAATAAAAAGATCTATTTAACAAACCATTACAAAGAAAAACTGCCTATTATTTGCGGATGACAGAGCAATTATTTCAAATCATCATCATCGTCATTGGCTCTACAGCCGTGTGGGCCCTGGGCTTCTTCAAAAGCTTCTTCCATTCTTCCCCATTCACAGACAATCTGTTTGCCAGTCCGAGGTGAATGAGGGTATCCGGCAGTTGCTTTCTAGCTCCACGCCCAACCCCAACCTGGAGGACCAGACCTACATATTTACAGCCCCCGGAGGTAGGGTGCCCCAGATATACCCCCAGGCACTGGGTAGCTCAGGGGTGCCAGTCCCCATACACACTGATGGGGGTCCCTGAGGGGAATTATTTCAAATAGAAAATATGAAATTTGAATAAAGAAAACACAAGTTTGCAAAATTGTTACTGGTAAATTGGTAATTTTCAAACACATGTAAAATATTGGAATTCATATTTGCCATCTGTCGGACTAAGAGGTCCTCACAAGCAGAAGAACATGAGCGTTGTCCCAGCCTTGCTGTAAATAAATTTGGAAAAGCTGATGACATAATTACGCAGCGAAGAAGCCAACCTGTTAAACGCAAGCTTATACAGCTGAGCCAGCACGGTTTCCAGCCTGGACGTACGAGGCTCTGGGACAGAACGGTCCAGCCTGAGCACAGTTAAGAGCCAGAATCGTTGATCT